GCCACCGTGGTGACTCTGATGATCGGCTGCCATGATCAAAACATACGCTCATCGCATCACCAACGTGGGAGCGGACTAAACAAATTCATGAAAATTTACTTTGATCACTGCAGAATTGTTTTCCTTAAAGGTGCATAAAGGAATGAATGGGCTAACAAATTCAGACTACATTGATTGCATGCGGAACGATTTTTAAATGATGATGAGCGTCCAAAGTTACGATCTCATGGTTTGTGATTGAAGTAGCCAAGCCTAACTATTGGTCATTCGCACTATATAATCATGATAATCTCTTAGTTAAATCACTTCTCTTTTGCTTCTGCATAATTTATTAGTGGACCGTCCATTATTCATTTATGCACATCAGGACTGACTCTAAATAGCTCTTATGATCTCTTTCTCACCTCAATTAACAAAGATTGCAATGAATTATTTTTCATTCATTTTTAAAGACTAGTTTTGCTTGAGCTGTTCTACATTTAGCTTCTTCAACACATCTTCTATCTACTGTTATCAGGATAGCTAAGTAGCTAAATGCATTGACATCTTCAGTGTCACATTTACTTGACTGATACATTTTGAAAGACATTTTTTCTTTTACTTATTTAGATTATGTAAAGGTAAAAGGAAAAATACAGTAGCAGAATACTGTAATCAGTGATTTACAAAGTAGAGGTTTTATATAATTTTGGCTAGGGATCATTTTCATTTTAAACAGGTCTCTCTAAAAATGTCACAGTCTTCTCCCTTTGACTGACATTTGAAAAAGTCTAATAATAAACCAGTATTTCTCATTTTATTTTTAAAATCTATAAGTTTAATGCAAATGTCTTGCCAGTTTTCAGAAACCAAAGTGCCTAACATAACAGAGTAACAAAGCAATTATTGTTTTAGTAGCAGTTGGTAACAGTTTGCAGAAAAAGCATAGAGACCTTATAGAAACACATTCTATAGTGAATCAGAACCTTCAAAAAGGTCTCAGTGCTCTCAAGATTATGGCAGCAATGGACATGGAACAAAGAATGTTGTCCACAATATCCCAGCATGTGATCCTGTCAGTGATAGATTATGAACATGACATGCTTACTATATCAAAGAGTCAGCTGATGAAACTTGAACGCATACAGAATGAAGCAATGCGGGTAATTCTGGGATGTACAAGAGATACCCAGTGGTATGTATGTGATATATACTTGCACTGCCTACTATTGCAGATAGGCTCAAGGTTATGCAAGCTAAGTCATATTTCAGAGTAGCTGCTGACAAGAGACACCTCCTGCATGAAGCCCTGATAGAGCTAAGGGTCACAGACTGAAAAAAAGAAATTCTTTAATGGCACTAGCTGAAGACACAAGCAGGCTTGATAAATTTAGGCGAGGAGAGGAATGGGTCAAAGTGTCCGATCCAGTTTCAGATTTGTCTAGGGTTCTAATCACTTTGGAATGTGAGTGTAGGGACTGGTTAGCTGGTGCCGCAGAATCAGAAGTTCAACAAATGATTTATGACAATTCCTGCCCAAGTAATGTGATTGTATATACAGATGGCTCTGTTTTAAGGGGTAGACAAAGTGCATGGGAGTTCATAGCGAAGGCGAATGGACGTCGCTTGTGCAGCAAAGCCTTGCATATGATATCATGTTTAGTTTGAGAATGGAGGTGGAGGCAGTCACTGCTGGCTTGAGAATCAGTTGTACACACGTGCCGTGATTGTCACTGACTCACAGAGCATGTTGAGAAATGTGGAGACAGGTATGCTCCGTGCAGAGTGGCAAGCATTACTTCAAAGGTCCTGGGTAGTTAATATTCTTTGGATATTATCTCCAGGTCATCCGGGTGTGTTGGGAAATGAGCAGACAGATAGACTGGCTGGTTCTGCACCACTTGTAAGCACTAATCCATTATGTTAAGAGAAGCATTCAGTTATCAGTGCACAGATAACTCAGTTCAAACAGTACATAAAATAACACTTAAATGAGATAGAAAATAGCAACACAAAGGATAACAGAAGTAAACCAGGCATCTGTAGAACAATATGACCTAGATTTTACAAAATATTTATCAGGAACAGCTAAAGAAATAAGAACTTATATATGGTGTGATTCATAAATAATACAAGTTATGAAACGTGATTTTCTTCCAATCTTTATCCCACGAAGAAGCATAGGCCCTCAGCAAACTCATACTCAGCTGTGATATTTATCTTTTGCCATCTCCTGCAGCTTCTCATGTCCTTCTTATCTGATTTCACCTCTGTCTTGGTATTCTATGTTATTTACTCGTATTGTTTAATGTAAAATGCATATTTCCTCCACTCCAGTAGATAGTGTTGTATCGATAAAAAACATATTTTATGTTTTTGATATTCAGAAGTTTTTTTTTTTGTTTTTTTAATTTTTAAAATAAATCATCAAGTTACAGCTTAAGTGCATTAGACCAGGCAGAGATGACTGACTGCTGTAACTAGAGCATTAAGACAGCATCAGTACCGCAGGACTGGGTGCACTGCTGTCTATTCCCTCTGCAAAAACCTTTTAAGGATCATTCAAAGCTCAGTGGCTTTAGAATCATCACCTTGCAAAACACACTTGGTAAGATCTTGGAGAAGATAGTTGCTGTAAAGATGCAAGAATTTTTGGAAAGGGGGTAGCTTCTCCCAAGAGGTCTGGGAAGCTACAGGCCAGGAAAGGACACATGGGCAAATGCGGCCACGTTTGCTTATGAGGTCTATGAATTTTTCCAGAACAGACAGGAAACTATGGTGATAGCACTTCGTCTCAAGGATGCTTATAACAGAATAAGATACGGCCTCTTGATGACTGCACTGAAAGAGAAGGAGGTCAGTCCATGGCTGGTGAATTGGGTTGCAGCTGTCTTGTATTCACGTCGGGTTGCTCTCCAACTTGGATCATGGACCTCAGAACCATGCACTTTGGCCCTGGGACTGCCACAGGGATCCGCCATCTCACCTGGGCTCTTTAACGTGTATACGAGCTAGATTGCAAGCCTAGAAGCACCAGGAGTTGGAACGATACTGACTTTTGCAGATGATATACTTGCATATAGGCACAGGGAAGAGAGGGAGGGAACAAACAGCCGGGGAGCTACAAGCAACAGTAGACAAAGTATCATATGCTAGGCTCTCCTGCACCAAACGTCAACCATTGACTTTTGCTAAACTGTTGCTTTTTTTTTTTTTTTGCTGGACAGCGGGATCGTTAGAGCTTATGTCCCACTCACGATAGATGGTAGAAAAGTCAACAGAGAGAGCAAACTGAAGTATCTGGGAATTAAATTTGACAGGAGCCTGTCCTTTAAGGATCATCTGGAGAGTGTTGTGACAAGATGCCAAAAAGGATGCCAAAAAAGGACTTGGTGCACTTAAGACTATAGCTGCAGTTGGCATAGACCAGAGAATGCTTTTCACACTATATCAGCACCTGATCCTGTCAGTGGTTGATTATGGCCTGGGACTGCTTACCGTCTCAAAGAGTCGGATGGACAAACTAGAGCACATACAGAACGCAGCTATGCGGGTCATTCTGGGTTGCACCAGAGACACCCCAGTGGTGTTTATGCGATACATCCTTGGTTTGCCGACTGTTGCAGGTAGACACAAGGTGCTGCAAGCAAAGTCATATCTCAGGGTAGCTGCAGACACAGACCACCATTTGCACGAAGCTCTGGATGCAGTTAAGGGTCAGCGGCTGATAAGAGGGAAGTCATGGATGGCTCAGGCAGAAGACACAATCAGACAGGTTTGCATCCTTGAGAACATTACGCGAGGAGAGGAGTGAGTCAAATTGCCACCTGAACAGTCAGACTTGTGTAGGGTCATTATCATACTAAGCCGTGAATGCAGAGACTGGCCAGCAGGAGGTGAAAATTAAGCAGTTAATTCAAGATAATGCTCGCTGAGAGGATTCGATCATTTACACAGACGGTTCAGTGTCAAGAGGTAAAAGAAGCGCTTGGTTTTTTTAAGCAAAAGTTAATGGTCGATGTTTGGTGCAGGAGAGCCTAGCAAATAATACCACAACATCCAGCTTAAGAATGTAAGTGGAGGCAGTTACTGCAGCTTTTCGCTGGTTAGAGAACACGACACACACACATCGTGATTGTAACTGACTCAGAAAGCATGCTGGGGAAGATCAGAACAGGCATGCTTCACTGCGGAGGACACGGGGGAGAAGTATTGTCTGGATTTTTTCACCGGGATACACTGGTGTGTTGCAAAATGAACAGACGGATAGACTGACTGGCTCTGCACAACTTGGTGAAATACTGATGCATGATAAGGAAGACGTGGTTAGTGCCTTGTGGGAGAGCGTGTACAGTTTCCAGGAGCAGAATGATCACCACAGTCTGGTGAGATTGTTGCATGGGGAGATGATGAGACGTTCTGGCAGATGCTCAGGGCTCAGAGGAAAGGCAAGACGGACGTTTAATCAGAATGCTACTAGCACCATTAGTATTGGAACTCTTTGCTGGCTGCTGAAGATGGGGACTGTGCACTTATGGGAATGCTGCGAGTGCTGTGATGTCGGTTCTTTAATCAAGAATGGCATGTAGTTGAAAATTGATTTGTTTCTTGACAAGTTCTTGTTTGAGCATTCAAAAATGTGTTTATGTATCTTCCCTTGAAGTTTTGATTCTACATTCATCTTGAAGCTTTGATTCTACATTCATCTTGAAGTTTTGATTCTACATTCATCTTAATGTTTTGATTCTACATAATCTTTAATTCTTTAAAATATTAATAAATAATATTTTATTATTATTTACTTTACTCTAAGCTACAAGTGTTTTATCTGTTGTGTGTGTTAGAAGTTAGTTGCATATCCTTTACAGGACGTTGCAGAAACAGTCCCAGCATTTGTTGGCAGTTTTACCTTCAGAAGTTTGCTGTGTGTGTGATAAATTACCCAGATAGATACTGCTGTATAATAATGTGTGCAACCACCCTTATTATTTATTTCATAGGTTGTTTGTATTATCTTTCAGACAAAGATGCATTAGTGTCCTACAAATTTAAATGGACAGATGCAGATAAAAATCCAACAGATAACCAGCTTTCGGAAAATGAGTTTATGGCTTTTCGACATCCTGAGCATAGCAAGCAGTCATTAGAGTTGATGGCTTATAATGTTATGAAAGGAGTAGGTAAGTGGTTTTGTATTCCAGTTTACCTCTTAAAATAATTCTTTTCAAACACCTTCTCATCCACTTTCTGCCCTTCTTATTTTCCTCCTTTCTCTTCTCAGATTTAAAAAAAAAAAGAAACCTACTGTCATTACGTCAGTCAAGTTATATTTACCAGAATCAGTGCAGATGTGAAGCTGCCTGTATTGTCTTGTATTTTATAGCTGCCTACTGAACTGCAGAGAGCGAAGGAAATAGACTGAATTGTTGCAACAGAATTTTGAATGCTTGAAAAAAAAAAAGATTTGCATGATTTACAAATCGCTTTATGTTATATTATGTTATGCATACTTTCTCAGATACAAACTATGATGGCATTATCGTAGAAGCAGAGTTTGCAGCATTGCCACCAGGTGAAGTGGAAGGAAAGGAATTTGAAGAAATGGACAGAAAGTGGCAGGAAGAGAGAAGAACTGAATTCAGGGAAATCATGGATGTAAATCATGATAAGAAAGTAGATTTAGAAGAGTTGAAGGTATGCTAACATATTTTTTATTTATTCTATGTTCATTTTAAAAATTACTGGCTATTATACAACTCTCAGTGATTTATGTGAGAAATGTGTATATATTTATTTCTGTGAACTGTTTCCCGTTTTTTTTTTCTCGTAATGTGTCAGTTTTTTTTTACTCCTTTCAATTTCTTGTACTTTATTTCATTGTTTACACTCTGCTTAAGTTCTAGTAAAAGGAAAGATGTTAACTGCAGAAGAATATAACAGCATAAGGTAAACAAATAGGATAGGCGTGAATTTGTAGAGAAATTAATACAGTTCCAGCATGCAACACCATATTTCAGATTCTCTGCTTCACTTTATTTTTAGATCTCTTGTTTTTGTATATTGTTTCAATTCTGTTTAAGACCTTGTTGCTATACCAAGCCACATATTGAGGATATAGTGCTGGAACATTTTTATTATCAGTCAGTCAATACATATTTGGGTGTGTGGTAGCATATTACTGGCCACCTACTGCTTCCCAGAACATTTTCTGTTACTTATTTTTTGGAGGTTATGTCTCTGCGGTTTTCATTTCTTGTGCTCCACTTTAGTGCTTAAATTTTACTTCAGCTCTTGTACTCACATTTTTGGTCTTGCACTGTGTTCAAGTTCTATACTCACACTTGCCCAGGTACTCATACTTCTTGTACTCCATTAAGTTCTTATACTCACACTTCTGCTCTTGGACTCCATTAGGTTCTTGTACTCACACTTCTGCTCTTGTACTCCATTAAGTTCTTGTACTCACACTTCTGCTCTTGTACTCCATTAAGTTCTTATACTCACACTTCTGCTCTTGTACTCCATTAGGTTCTTGTACTCACACTTCTGCTCTTGTACTCCATTAAGTTCTTGTACTCACACTTCTGCTCTTGTACTCCATTAAGTTCTTATACTCACACTTCTGCTCTTGTACTCCATTAAGTTCTTATACTCACACTTCTGCTCTTGGACTCCATTAGGTTCTTGTACTCACACTTCTGCTCTTGTACTCCATTAAGTTCTTATACTCACACTTCTGCTCTTGTACTCCATTAAGTTCTTATACTCACACTTCTGCTTTTGTACTCCATTAGGTTCTTGTACTCACACTTCTGCTCTTGTACTCCATTAAGTTCTTATACTCACACTTCTGCTCTTGTACTCCATTAAGTTCTTATACTCACCTTTCTGCTCTTGTACTCCATTAAGTTCTTGTACTCACACTTCTGCTCTTGTACTCCATTAAGTTCTTGTACTCACACTTCTGCTCTTGTACTCCATTAAGTTCTTATACTCACACTTCTGCTCTTGTACTCCATTAAGTTCTTATACTCACCTTTCTGCTCTTGTACTCCATTAAGTTCTTGTACTCACACTTCTGCTCTTGTACTCCATTAAGTTCTTATACTCACACTTCTGCTCTTGTACTCCATTAAGTTCTTGTACTCACACTTCTGCTCTTGTACTCCATTAAGTTCTTGTACTCACACTTCTGCTCTTGTACTCCATTAAGTTCTTGTACTCACACTTCTGCTCTTGTACTCCATTAAGTTCTTGTACTCACGCTTTTGCTCTTGTACTCCATTAAGTTCTTATACTCACACTTCTGCTCTTGTAATCCATCAACTTCTTATACTCACACTTCTGCTCTTGTACTCCATTAGGTTCTTATACTCACACTTCTGCTCTTGTACTCCATTAAGTTCTTTTGCTCACACTTCTGCTCTTGTACTCCATAAAGTTCTTGAACTCACACTTTTGCTCTTGTACTCCATTAAGTTCTTGTACTCACACTTCTTCTCTTGTACTCCATTACGTTCTTTTGCTCACACTTCTGCTCTTGTACTCCATTAAGTGCAGATATTGCAGCCTTGCTGTAAACCACAACACGGCATCCTAACCACCCCTTTTTTAAGATCAGTGCAGAAGAAGAAGGTGAGAATGAGAGCAATAGATATGTCGGCAACAACAAAAAATAAAGAAAAGGCAATTGTCATACCAAGTGGTTACTCTGAAGCCAGAGTAAACCTTTTTAACTGGAGAATAAAATCAATAAAACAGGTTCTTGAGACAAGGGTTCTCAAAATATTCATTTGTACTCAACCCGACAGTTAACAGGTGGCACTATAACCACACTGAAGACAAATTGTCCACTGCTCCATGGGGAAAAAGGGGGAGGGGGGGGGGGGGGGGTGCAAAATAGACCCACTGCCATTAACAAGTTTTTCATTAAAGGTGACTAATTAGGAGTCTGCTGAAATTGGATGTTTTGGGTATTATAACCCATCTTGGCAGTCAATCACAACACACAACCTGCCAACCACCTTTTTTGTAAGGCCAGATGCAGATGAAGAAGAATCATTGCAACTATTCTAGGATTCTGTGAACACTTAAGTCAAGAAACAAGACATTTCTCACAACACATAGGAGACAATTTTTATCATCTGTTTTATCAACAACACTTAACACACATTGAGACTTAGCTTACCAGATAAAAATCTTTCTTAGCAGTACAAGCTGACCTATGGGTAACAAACAGTCAACTTTGTAAAACAAAATATCTATCAAGTTTCACCACCATCAGTATGGACCATGTTTCTGGCTTTCCTTCGAACCAGTTTTGGAAATAATGTTAGTTTTTTGCTTTGTAATCTGCAGTCTGGACATTTCTGGGCAAACCGTTTGTCACAGGTCAGGTTTGCTTGAGTAAGTTAATCCTCTGTGCCACATCTACAGAGAGTCAAAGAATATAATGCTCCCTCTGCAGACACTGATGGACATAGAAAATACTGCTGCTGAAAGGACAACTTCACTAGTAAAAAAGACAAAGACAGACCTCCCAAACAAACAATATACCCAGATGACCACAGCCTGGGAATATTCCCCTAAAATACTATACCTCCCAGTCTAACTGGTTAAAGGAGAAGGGTACAGTGACTGCTGACAATAGATCTCCTGGGGTAAATTTTACATATATCTTTTTATCTTGTGTTCACTGACAAAAACATTTAGTTAAGGTTGAATTAGACTCCAAAACTAGGAATTCGGTTACACAATAGTATTGGAATGAATCAAAACACCTGAATTGTTTTGGTATTCAACCATCAAACTGAACATAAAATCATTGGACAAGTCGGTGGTGGAGATTTTCTTTCTAGCTGGCTGGACATGCCACTTGGCTGATGTTCTAATTTCCTCTCATTAGCCACCAATGCTCCACACATACAGGATGTTGACTGTTCAAGATCAGGCTTGACAATGAAGACATCGACCTAGAACTGAAGAAATGAGACACACCATGTAGATGGCTAATGTATGCCTCTTCACAATGCTGTACTGAGGCTAGTACTCATGAAGTATTTATCTGCATACAGACATACATAACATGGGGTAGCAGTGATGGTAATGTAGATTCAAATTATATCCTGATAGAGGATGATACTGGTTTAAGCAGTTCCTTTGCTTCTGAGGTGAAACACCTTATCAGTGTCTCATAGACATACATGTACAGGGGACTTTGTCCATGATATAGATCTTAATCGCACATAATAGTGAGCTATTAACATATGTTAATGATTATCATAATTTTTACAGCCGCCCTGCAGGGTTACATGTTTCAAACACACAGTCATACATCACCAGATATTCCAATCTCAGTCACATGGGTTTTACATTACAGTGTAATGTGAATACTGGGGATGAGTTCATACAATGGCTTACACTCATACATTATGAGCTGAGCTGACAGGAAAGCTATCATTTATTATCACTTAAGTGTTGTTAACATAACCAACCCTTGGGCAAAACTCACATACTGGTTGTATTTTGAAATATTCATTTAGTCAGTCGCTCCAGTTAAAAACTGTCTAAGTATACAAACATACATACTACAAATTGTGAGCACTGAGGTCAGAGGTGTAAAGGGTTAAATATAACTGTCAGTTATTTGGGTACACGTCCTGATATTCAACACATTCCTGATACTAGGAATTACTGGAAGCAAAAATGATGATTAAATTTTATGTGTCCAAGTCCACCTTTCCATGTTCTTCTCCTCAGGAGTAATAAAATACATTTCAAGATTAACAAGCATTAACAGTGGCTAAGTGCAATCCAGCCTAGTTAGGATCTCACTAAACCACGAGTTGATCTGATTTCAAAAAAGTGATTCTAGATTTACAAACAGAGGTTCTAAAACCCTCCACTAATATGGTTATAGTAACTTAACACTTGTTCCATTCTGTAGTGATTATAATTTTAATTATATCTCCACACTGAGAAATGTGCTCGGGTGAGATTTCCCTTCATACAGTTAGTGTAAGACTTATAATAAATCTTCACACTTATAAATGCAAAATTAACTCTTTCAGGCCCATGGATTTTGACAGGCTTTGCTCACATTAATTTCCCTTCACAAAAACGGCAGAGGGGGTGGTGTGAAAAAAAAGCACTTGAGAATGTAATATATTTCTGATCTCTATAAAAGTCTATATATTTTTAAAGAAGAATGAATGTACATTTTGAATCTGATGATATGTTTTTGTTTAGCTCTATTATATTTAGTAGGAAAAAAGAATTCAGCAGTTGTTATATTTACAAAGACAAAATTTTACCCCCCAAAAATCTTCACTTACCACGGTTTTGCGGCCACAAGAGCAGCGAATATCCAAATTTGGGAATAATACTTTAAAGTTTGTTAGTTTCCTAACAAATTCATAAGTTATGATATGTTTCTGGGTTAGTTTATCACTCAGAGGCTCTCAAAGAATGGTAAACAAAATTTCAGCGAAAATAATAGCAGAAAATTGGACCTATACAAAATGTTTTCTTTGTATAGTTATATACAGACTGCAGCTGCAATGATTTCATAGTATGGTACTAACTGAAACGGTCCTTTTGATGCTAATGTTGGTGAGTATCACATCCTTCACAAATGTAATGATTCCTTCTGCATTTACCTCATCAGAACATAGAACAAACAGCTGACCGCTCAG